TGTATCATTTGGACCTTTTGGCATATCAAATAAAATACCTACTAATGGTCCTTAGGTCTAGTTTCTTTTTTTGTGGGTTGTAAACTCTTACTTTAGACGGGCATCCCCAACGCGTATATGTCACAAACTCAGTTTCCAACCTTTTCATAATTCAAATGGTATCTTTTGGACAGCCTTGGTTGGAACCTGGTTTAATATATACACTGTCGTTTTAAGAGCTTCGATCCATAAGGATTCTGAAAGTTTGGATTTACTTCGCATACTCCTCACCATTTGTCTATTAAAGTTCAATTTCTTCTTTCTGCTACACCATTTTGTCTAAGAAAACAAGCATGGTTATTGAGCGACTATCCAATGCTCTTGAAGAAATTTCGCAAATGGACCAAGTGCTTGTCCATCCTCGGTGTATGTACCATAATATTTTCCACCTCTATCTGTTCTTACGATCTTAATTTGCTTTTCACATTGTTTCTCTACTTTGGCCTTAAAAACTTTAAAGGCATCTAGTGCTTCGTTTTTGTTATGAAGCAAGTAGATATACATGTATCGCGAATAATCATAAATGAAAGAGATGAAGTATTTTGGACCATACGAGTCTATGTCTGGACTACAATTATCTGAATGTATGATCTCTAACATACTTGTGCTCCTTTTTATCACATTTCTTGGATTTGTTGTTCTGCTTTCCCTTAATACAGTCCACACAAGTATCGAAATCAGTGAAATCTAAAATACTAAGTATTTCATTATTTACTAATCTCTTAATCCTTCCTATGGAGATATGTTACAATCTCCGGTGCCACAACATAGAGGAATCTTCATTCATAACACTTCGTTTCATACCAGTGTGAACATGTATAACATTATAAGTAGTATTTTGCAAATTAATAGAGAAAAGACCATCAGATAAAATAAACTGAAAGATACTACTGAAAAATTAAAGGAATTTCCCAAAGGTACAGGTCTTGAAACTGAAATCAAATTTCTAGAGAAACTTGGAATATAAAATGTCTTTTCTAAATTCAAAATAAAACCACTGCTCAAAACTAAATTGCATGTTCCAATAGCTTTCACGTGGGAGTGCATCTTGTTTCCTGAATAAATGCACTACTCATGTTACGTGTTTGCACACTTGGGCCACCCATCGGAGCCCACAGCCAACTCATGCCGAACCACGTAGCACTCAAGCCGAGGTGATTTGCATAGCCGAGGCCCACAAACTGAGGTCCTCAGAATCCTAGGCCCATATATACCGAGGCCCATCTATCATTGCATATTGAGGAGCTTCCGAAGCCCATATGCCGAGGCCCTTTGAAGGTGGACGAGGCCTATTGGCGGAAGCTCTGTAGTTGAGGTAGTAGCCTCTGAATCATAAAGCAGCCTCTTCTGTAGACACTTCTCCAAAGAAATTCTCTGCACAAAGATCTTACTTGAATGATTGATAAGACGTTTGTCATGAGTGTAAATGTTAAGTCTTGTCACTAATAGAGGCGGCGCTGTCAATCAATAAATGTATAGCAGGCTAGGCGGGCTGATGCGTATAATTTGACATGTAAATTAACTGGATGAGGCCACGTATACCCCGAACCAAAGGTCACGATCTAACTTGTGACACTATAAATAATCCCCCATGTACCCCATACAAAGGCTAATCAAAGAATCAATACAAGAAATCATACTTTACTCAACTCTCTCTTTCTTATCATCTTGCAACAAAAACGAGTTCATACATATTTGGATACACATTTACAAATATCGATTGGTAATTATTGTATAATCGATCTACGAACACATGTGTGCGGGTGGGTCCGGCATCTGTTGGCAATATTTTTTGGGGGTCAACAGCTCACTTTCCATTGGTTTCCTTAGGTTTCGCATACCCTACAAGGTATTCGAAATATGGATTGTAGAACCAGAATCAATCCACCATGTGTTATAATTAACATCAACCATATTAGATTCATAACAGACAAATGAGATTGGTTTACCTTTCTTCTCAAGCCATTTCTGAAATTTGATGCAATCCTTCTTCATGTGTCGCTTCTTTTTGCAGAAGAAACACTTGGATTCCTTTTTATTCCACCTTGGGAGGTATTTTACCTTTCCTCTTCCTTTTGGCTTGTTTTTCATTATTTCCTTGCATTGCCATTAATGCACTTTTACCCATTTCCGTTGTCAGACTTCTTTCTTCCTGAACACATGACCAGAAGTTCATTAATTGACCACTTATCCTTATGCTTGTTATAGGATATCTTGAAGGGTCCATATTGATGTGGAAGAGTGTTTAGAATGTAGTGCACAAGGAAAGAATCAGACATATCAACCTTAAGAGTCTTCAATTAAGCCGCAATGTCCCTCATTTGCATAATGTGCTCACGCACACCTCTCACAATAGTGATACTTATGGATGAAAACTTCATAATCTAGGTGCTAACAAGTGATTTATCTGAAGTCTCAAATAGCTCATCAACAGCCTTCAACAATGCCTTGACATTTTTATGCTCTTCGACAGAACCGCAAATGCCAACAGAAATATTGGTCTTTATGAACATCATACTAAGGCGATTGGATCGCTCCCATCGTCCATAAAGAGCAATTTCATCTGGAGTGCTATTCGGAGTGAATTTTGGTTCGTCTTTCCTGATGGCATAATCAATTTCTATCCACCCTAAATGAAGAAAAATTCTCTCTTTCCAAAGTTTATAGTTATCACCCTTTAGTTCGGGAATATCACACTTAACATCAAAAAAAATTCGCATGTTGCATAACTGCATAAAAATTAAACATACATACTTATAATTTAGACAAGCAAACAAAAATCATATGTTACCAATGTAAAATCATACTTTAAGGATATGAATCTAGTGACACAAAACTTGCCTGTGGGCTAAAGTCCTACTCAATTAGTTTCATGTATAAATTTTATGATAAAACTATCAAATCACTTTACAATTCCTAATTTCTGTGGGTAATTAGGAAAGTAATTTAATATTTTATCCTAGTTAGTCATATAAATATAATAAAAATTCCTATAGGATAAAATTTATTATATTCAATATGATCAACCACAATTAATGTCTTTACTCAATATGTGATCTTATACTTTAATATATAATTTTCTATAATTAAAGATGCTGTGACTACTTCCTAATTAATTAAAAATATATCGATCACGCGACATTAAATATAATTCACAAAATGTGCTCATATAAATTGCTCAAATCCATCAACAATATGAGCACAAACAAAAATTTTAATGTACTAAATTATTTAACTTAATATTGCATGTATTACAAACCAATAAAAATCATTCATACAAAATAGCAAAATAAATAATTTTAGCACATTAAAAAAACCACATAGTATATATTTATAACCTATCTTCATTTCAAAATTAATTACTTCAAAATTATAGTGGTTAAAATTCACTGTAGGTCCCACGCTATTCATTATTGTTGACATTGGATTCAGGTTCTGGGCATTCCAACCATGCAAATGTATATAAAGAAATAATGCAAAATAATAATATGTGAGAATGTGAAAAAAAAAAAGGGTCACTGCAAGTCTGTCATGTGTTTCAACCCTTTTGAGAAAAAGGTGGTCAAACGATTCGGCTGTCTATCTGCAAAACCATATTTCAGATTTTTTTTAATATTTTTTTTTAAATGAAGGCTGTCTTCAACCTCTGGCCTGAGAGCAAAAAGTTTCATTAGTCACCGAACTTTACCTATTGTCAAGATGTGGTCACCGAACTTCTTTATGCTGCCGAATGGTCAATGAACTTACACAACATGCCTCCATCCCTCACTCCCCAAACTTTCGTTTCAATCGTTGCTGATATGGCATAACGGCAGTTGACTCGGTGACAAACGGCGTCTTCTCTTGCCAGGTGAAGTGTCGTTTGTTGATGAAAACGCGATTTCCTCCCAAAATAATAGACAACAAGTCCTAGGTGCCCTAATTTTCCAATCCCAAATTCGCGAGGGAAGTGCATCACGAACCCTAATCACGTTGCCCAATCGTGAATCGGTTTAGGAGAAGCTTAAAATACCTGATTCAATACCAGTGGACAGTATCACATCTGAAAGGGAGCGAGGATTCTCACCCATGGAGGCAGCCGATGGAGGTAATGAGCACACCCTCTATTCGATTTCTGTAAGCCAAAATAAATCATTCTGTGACATTTCTGCAACATTGCTGGGGGTTTAGAATTTCTGAGTCGATTGCAACATTGCTGGGATATATATGGACAAGTAGTATGGGTGTTGCTAAGTGGTCCATGTGTCGGTGTCTGCGTATTTTTCGGGATTTACCAGCTTCCTATATTGCTCCTTTTTTCTGTTTTTGTATTAGTACGAAACTCAGCAAATATTTTCATTGTATTCAATTTGATGACAAATTATGAGGAAGACCCAGATTTTGTTCGTTCCGATGTTGATACGGCTTCTGAGGAAGATGATTTGTTGTATGAGCGCAATGTGACAGACGGCATCGAAATTGGTTCGGACATGAATGCAGCGAGAAACGAAGGAGTATTGGTTGATGTAGGGGAGGTTGACGATGATGACTTGCATTGTCCATCTTGTGATGAGTTATTATTGGCTTATTCGTTAAATGAAGAGGTCGGTTATCGGTTTCCAAAATTTTTGGCTGAGGCAGATATGAGAAATCTGCAGTTTGAGGTTGGACAACTCTTTCGGTCAATGCAAGAGTTTTGGAGCGCAGTGAGAACCTATGGCGCTCTTAATGGTTACAATGTGAAGTTAAGGTGTAATGATAGAAAACGAGCACAAGGAGTGTGCAAAGTAGGGTGTAATTGGAGGATATGGGCCTCAAAGTTGAGTGATACGGACACGGTGCAAGTGAAGTCGTACACGCCCGAGCAAACATGCACTCGGAGCTAAAATAATAGACATTACAACTACATCTTCTTGACAAATAGATACATTGAACAATTCAAGGCAGGTCCCGATTGGAAAACAAAGTCCATTTTGACAACAATGAAAGATGATTTGAAGACAGAAATAAGTAGAAATGTGGCCAACAAGATGAGGCATTATGCTAAGGAGTTGCTGTTTGGAACCCTAGAAGAGCAGTTTGGACTTTTGAGAAGATATGCCGTGGAGATACTTCGGACGAATCCGGGATCAACAGTGATGATAGCTTTGTATGAGCAAGTTTTCAAAGGTATCTACATTTGCTTCAATGCCTGCAAGGCCGGTTTTAGAATTGGATGCAGGAAAGTGATAGGTGTTGATGGCTGCCATTTGCGAGGTTTTTTTGGGGGAATTATGTTAACAGCAGTGGGATAAGATGCTAACGACTGTATATACCCTGTGGCATATGCTGTTGTAAAGAAGGAGAATACTGATACTTGGAGATGGTTCTTGAAGTATCTCCAGGAGGACATTGAAATTGGCAATGGGAGGGGTTGGACATTGATGACTGATAGACAAAAGGGTCTTCAAAATGTATGCGAGGAGTTATTTCTAGAGGCAGAACATCGCTTCAATGTACGACATATGTACACAAACTTCTTCAGCGCCAGATATAAGAGCAAAACATTAAAGGATTTTCTTTGGCGTGCCGCAAAAGCAACAACTGTGGCTGAATTTAGATATTGGATGCAAAAAATTCGTGATGTAAGTGAAGAAGCTTATGGATGGCTGATAAAAAGACACCCTCAGGAGAGTTGATCACACTTTCTAGTGCATTCCAAGTGTGACATTCTACTTAACAATATATGTGAAGTGTTCAACAAATCGTTGCTGGATGACAGAGAAAAAATGATTCTAAACATGTTGATATCCGTGTAGATGATTTTTTTAAACGAATACAGCAAAGACGAGAGAAGATGAGATGACGCGAAGGTCGTTTATGTCCAAGGATTGCCAAAAAGCTTCACACGCTCATCGAGAGTTTAAGAGAATGCACATTGCACTTGTCGGGGGGCCCAAGATGGCAAGTTGATTGTAGTCGTGAGACATACGTAGTTGATCTTGAAGAATGGACTTGTGCATGCCGAAAATGGGAGCTTGCGGGTATACCATGCATGCATGCTATAGCAGTGATACGGGACTGCAGAAATGAACCAGAGGATTTTGTAGACAACTGTTACATGGTCGAGACGTACATGAACATCTATAATAACATCATGAACCCAATCAACGATAAAATGTTGTGGCCTGAGGTCGATGCCCCTACAATAATCCATCCTAAGTGGAATGTGCCTCAACGGGGAAAGAAACAGAAAAAGTGAAGGAAACAGGCTGAAGAGATAGTGATGCACAGCCATGGACGGTCATACGTCAAGAAGAAAGGGCAAGTGAGAATGACGTGCTCGATATGTGGACTGATGGGGCACAATAAAAGATATCACTCCAGCGACGATGCCCCAGTTCATGTATGTATTTTACTCTGTCAATATAAGATAATGTCTTCATATTCTAACCTATTTACACATAAACAAGAATGGTTCGATGCCGAACTAAAGCCGGTTCATTCAAACAGCAGCGTAACTGTTAATGAACGAGTAAGTAAACAACAAAGTCATGGTTTAGCTAATTCACCAAATTTTTTGCTTTATTATAACCTATGGTTCATGTTGGATTACAGGGAAAAATGGTGTCGTCAAGAGGTCGTGGTTGTCACCGACTGAAATTCCAAGTGCACAAGACGTCGTGGATTGTCATTAGGACCAACAAGTGCATTAGAGTGCTTTCTCCAATTCACTAACATGTTGTGCTTACAATGTTGCTGCTTGTCATATCTGTACAATTTTAGATCTATTTATCTACATTGTTGCCACACTTCATAATTGAGGACTCATTGCATCTTGCTTGATGAACTGTTATGAAGGTTATTGGTTAGTTTTTGACAGGCCGTCTGTCACTTGAATAACACACTTTTACTTGTCGAATACAAACTTGTGATTTGGGTTTAAATTTGAATTGGAGAAAGCTTGAGTGCTTTGTGATTATGCTTTCTTTACTAGCAGTTATCATTCGTAGAAAAGTGGAAGACTTGGGCATTATTTTCTGTACTTGATTTGTTAATTCACAAGGTAGCAAATGTGTTCTCAAACCATAGCAATCTGTCTATTAAGCAACATTGTGCTATTCATTTTGCACAACAGCAATATGCTTTCTGTAACTTTGTGGATGCTTACTTTAAAAGACTTAATGGAGTCAGAAATGTAGTGGAATGTTCATTCGTATAGTCAACAGTCACTGAGTCTCACTAACCTTGTTGGATGTTTATCATATTAGCCCTTTACTGAATGAATTTTTGGAAAAAAGGTATTAGATTTCATGCTATGAGAAGTTACTCATTCACACACTTATACATCCATATGACTGTGACCATTTTTATCCTTTACAATGAACCTAAGCGTATGATGATTGAAAATTTTCGCAAAAATCGGATTGAGAACGATAAAATTTAATGAAATGTGGGTGGACAGAATGATATATCATTCCTCTCATGTACCTTTGCATTCTTTTGCAGCTACCTTCACTTCTGGAAGGCTGCTTATGAAATAGAAATTGCAATTTCAAATTTTTTTTCCTTCTTTGATAGGCCACTAATTTCAATTGTGTGCAACACCCGATAAGACACCACATTATATCAGTAATGCATGATTATATCTGTTCTCTTTTGTTCAGAGAGAAATATCCAAATGTTAATAATACGGAAAATGCTAATGGTACATCCGAAGAATTTCATTATTCGATAAAAAACAATTACATAATAGTCCTACGTCAACGACTTACATCCCAGTGTTACAACCTACATAATTTACTACATGGGACAAATACAATCAACTCATTGAACTTTCCCCTTCCCTTTTCCAATGTCTTCGGTAACCCCTTTTCCTTTTCCATTATCCTCTGTGAGCGCATTTCCTTTTCCATTATCATCCACTACCGTCCTTCCTTTGCGCATAGTAATGTTGATCGATATCTCTATGTCCTTTTCTGTTGTGATTTGAGCACATTTTTTGAACATGCACGACAAATCTTCGCACAAATATTTAGTTTGACAATTACCCGAACAAACATATCTCGATTCCACATTACACCGCTCTTCATTCTTCCACTCGAATTGACCACAATCTCTAGTACAACATAAGAACAACCTCCCTTTGTTCAAAGTATTTTTCTCCACCTCCATACATTTCTCGAATCCCTGGCCACAATTTGGACATCGTTTCTTTGTTGGGCAGTCTGACAAGTAATGCCCAGGCTTCCTTCAACTGTGGCATATGCCTTTGTTCTTCCCCACCATAACACTTCAAATGTGGGATAGGTTTCCACTGTAATAATTGAAGTAGGAATACATGTAAGATAGTCAAGGATAATACAAACTGTTTCTACAAATTAGGTATAAGAAAATAATCTTCGTGACAAAATGGATACAATCTTCATAAGCAATATATTCATTTCGAGATAGGCAGTGTATGGCCAATTCATGAAAGAATTCCTAATTACATTCCATTGGCAGTGTATGGCCACTTCATGAAGCCAGGGTAGGGATAATGTATACATATAGACAGTCACTTAATCACACTATAAACGGTCAATCATTCACCTAGGATATGCACAAATTGAAAGTCACTTAATCACTCCCCACTAGCACAAGGCTACAAAAACAAACGCGACTCAAAAACACACATAACTACCATGGTTCTAACTCGTCATATTCTAAAACCAAATTACTAATGCAAAACATGCTAACAAACGAATTACAACATGAATCAACTTTCAAGACCGGAATTATTGGCTATACTCTTAGACTCGGGAGGATTTCCTGAACTAAAAAAATTTAAGTTATAATGGCTTTAAGAAGTGCAGAAACTAATGAATATTTACATACAGAACGTCGTGTGAAGATGAACATAAGTACATTACCTCAAACAATTAATGCAGGTAAAGAGCACATTTCCCGTTCCTACAACCTTGGAAATACCTTCACCTTTGGCGAAATTTGTTGGGCTTCAAGAAATTCAAACTTCGCAGATGAAGTTTCGGTGAGCACAACTCGATTTCTGTGGTTCAGCAACCAATCGCCAGGGGTCGGAGACGGGAGTAAAAAGTTCAAAATTTGTTGGGCTTGGGGATTCGTATTTCGGTCGTGGTTGGGCATGATAGTGGGTTTGCGGGGTTGGGATTCACCTAAATTTGGGGATGGTGTTCAATGGTCGAAGATCGCTTTATGGCATTCGCGATTTAGGGTTCTCTGAATTCTGTGATTTGGGGCTCAATTTCAATTGCGTATAGAGACTAAGGAATTAAACGTCGTTTGTCGTCGAGTCAGCTGCCGTTATGCCATATCAGCAACGATTGAAACGGAAGTTTGGGGAGTGAGGGATGGAGGCATGTTTGTGTAAGTTCATTGACCACTCAACAGCATAAAGAAGTTCGGTGACCACATCATGACAATTGGTGAAGTTCAGTGACTAATGAAACTTTTTACTCCTGGCCTGATCATTTTGACCCGATTTTTACTGTATGAGATTGGAAGGCTTAGGACCCAACAGGTGGAAAAAACTGCATACATATAGGCTCCATCCATCATAGAGCGGTTTTCAACAGAGCACAAACGTGGGGAAGGCAGTTGGGACATGATTTGGAAGTTATTTACATCCCTAAATGATGGAAAATGAGGACTATATCTAGGTTCAGTTATTAACCGGAGAAACCCACATGGAAAAAACTAACAGCAACTGGCCATGCGATATTGATATATGTAAAAAACTGCTTCACTGGCATCTTGGGATTGACCATGAATTTTGATTTTATGCAATAAGCTAAACTTCTTACACCTTCTCAAATCATACTCTATTATGTTATTATTACCTTGAAAAATAGACATTCAAATTTACTGATGAAGAAACTTAAATGCTATGACAAATTATTTGCAGTGGAAATTTTTCTCACTCTGATTAAGTGCTTTTTTGGATACCAATGCAGCTTTCCGTTTTATGCTGTGCTATTATACGAGATCAACAAACTTTCGGGAATGATGCTTTCCAAAAGTGAATCCAGAAGTAAAAGTAAAAGTTATTGAGTTGAAACTGGTGCTTGAAGGAATTGCTTTCAGACTCTCTTGGAGTTCTTTTGTTAGATACTTGCAAAAGTGAGATGCACTGGTTAGTGGTATAGACTGAGAAGTTCGAATATGGATGGTTAAATTTTGTGGTTATTAGATGCTAAGGGGCCTTATTAATATATAGATATAACCTCATTTGTGCAACTGAAATGGTAAGAATTAAATGAACATATGAGGTGGCTTATTTATTTATCAAGTTTTATGTTACACTTCTATCAGTCTATGAGATTAAATTGCATTGTTCTTATATACTTTTACTTTTCCACTTTAATTTGATTTCACTCCCTAAACATTGATATAATGTGAAAAAATTTGATGAGGCCCAGAAGGGCAATCACAATATTTTGCTTTGATGTTAGGCACGACTCATTTTATACCTTATTGTTTGCAAGAATAGAAAATTGTAGACTCGTTAGATGTTTTACACCAACAAACTTATACCTTTCTACTTTGTTCTACATTCATAATTATGCAGCACGTAAACAAAGATATTTTCTTCTCCATAGAATCTTGGAGATCCATCCCTAGTCGTCCATTTCTGTAAATTTATAAATGATGATTAGAAGTTGTGGGACAATTCCATCCGGACTCTTCTTTTTGTTTTGAAGTGAAAATTTATTGGGTCGTGCTTGTAGGGCGTGCAAGGCCTACAAATTATTTTTACTGTATTGCTCGGCATGGTTCATGTTTTCCAACTACTTTCATTTAAAAGATTATAGCTCTAGACTTTTGGAGAATGATTTGTACATAATCATTTAAATGTTATCTTTAACTCATCTTTCTTCGAGTATAAACTTGCTTCATTTTTTATATAACAGTATGACACGTACACAACTTTCATAAATGGATTGTGTAAGCCTTCTCTTCAACAAAATTATTGGTTCTATGCAATGTAACTTTGTAACTATATATGAGTTAGGATACAATGAGAAATTACATTAAGCCTAATATGAATAAAAGTATTATTCTTTGACCACTTTTTTTCCCCTAATTATGATGTAAAAAATTGACAAAAATTAGGACACATTCTTAAAAGGCTTATACCCTTTAAGATCATAAATAACTCCAGCAAGGGAGCCAGCAGCAGTAGCAATAGAGGAAATAAGGCAAGCAACACTTAGAATTTGTAAGCTGAGCCATGTAGTGCTCCATTCTGGGATCTTCATTTGATCTATGTACATTTTGACTGGGAAATATACGGTAAGAGTCCAGAACCCCAAAGCACCAACAATTCGAATGATGTGATCATTGAAGAATGGTAAGATTATTGACAAAATTGTTGTAATGATAACGAAAATTGTTCTCCACACAAGTTGGAAAAGATTACGTTTGAAAGGCTTGTATCCCGGGATTGGGACTTGGATTTCTTCGGTGATGAATTTGCAGTCCGGAAACCAATCTAATGCAGTTTTTTCAACGAAAGCGAAAAGGGGTTGGCAATAAACTTGGTAAGCACCTACAAGGTGGATAACAATGGCAGCGTTGACTATGTCAATAACCCAGTATGGGTAGTAGGGGCCAAAATCAGTGAGGAGATTTCGAGGTGAAAGATCTCCAAATGCCGCATAACCAAAAAGGCCACAGAACATGTAGTAAATTGTTGTCACTACCACACTTAGTAGATTTGCTTTCTTCATTGTCTCGCATTCTGATGGTGCGAATTTTATCGTATCCTGATATTAAAAGAATCAAAATTAGGCTCGTGTTGTAAAAATTAAATAGTGTAAAGTTAAAATATTGACCGTGATATTGTCTATTTTTGTATACCTGTATTTCAATAAGGATGAGAGAGTAAGAATAGGCTAAAGCTATATCCCCAATTGCTTGTAAGCTTCTCCATATTTTTTCAATTGGAGTGACGATGCCAATGCTAATTCCAGTGAGACTTCCCTTAATTTTCCCATTTTCTATAGCAAAAAATATTAGGTTACAACACTTGAAATTAACAAATCTAATGCTTTAAGAGCGGAAGATGAAAGCAAAATGAAAAAGGGGTTCCTCCTCTACCTGCAATTATGGCAATTCCAAAGCCTAAACCAATGGTTGAGTAAATAAAAGACATGACTGCAGCAACAATTGAAAGCCACCATATTCGACTGAAATCCATGATTTGAGAGAAAAATATTTGAATAACACCAAATCCAATCATGTACGGATTGCCTGAAATTCTGCAAGGACTATTATCTCCTTTTGAATGGAAGCAATTGGATTTCTTGATTGCCCTGTTTATTAATGTTCATGAATCAGTAAAATTTCCAAGAATGATATTGAACAGCAAAATTGCACTAAAACGGAGCTTTTCTTGCTCTCATACTGACATCATGCTTATAGAGGAAGCATTGGTACAACCAACGGCAACTCCAAAAAGATTCAAGTACTGAATTGCTCCACAAATTTTCACCTGAAATCCACCTGAAAGTTCCAAGTATCAGAAGAAGATAAGTATGAAATATAACAATAATATTAGGGCCGTCCACACTCGAGAGATTACCTAGGTTGGCTTTGACAACATCCATATAAGTACAATTTCTTCTTCTGGTATTGGGATCGCTCGACTAGTAGCATGATGCTAGCAGAGTAGAGGTGTAGCAAGTCAAAACTGCGAACAAGATCATCAGAGATGGACCAGCTACCCATCCCAGTTGAGCAGTGGCCCAAGGCAAGGACAGAACTCCCGAACCAATCACTACTGTTATTATGTGAGCACTTGCAGTTCACACAGTTCCTATTCAAATACACAGAACACAGAAAATTCAGCTAAAATCAAACCAAAATTATTTTTAAAAAATGTAAAAATAGATGAAAAGAAAATAATACTTGTTCTTCTGAGATGGCCATCATCATCAGAGTCAAAACCTGTGGAACCACCCTGAGGAGGCGCATTGAGGCATATATCAAACTCTTGGTTATGGTTGCTGTTTTTGCCCATCTTTGTTTCAAACAAATCAAGAAAATGAAATATCAGAATCGAATGCAAAGGGGCGTATTGTTTGTTGAAATGGCTGGATCTATTATCTGTATATTTATAGGAGGGATATCAAGACTCCATTTGCACACAGCCGAAATAAACAGATTTTACATACAAAATAGAATATTCCTTCCTGTTTTTTGCAAAATATTCAAAGTTATTGATCAATCCTAACAATACCTCTCAAGGTGGAGTGCGTATCTACCACTCCAAGCTTGTCTATGAAGAATATGAATCTTCAGTGAGAGAGAGAGGTTTTGTTAGTATGTCTGTAGTTTGATCTGAGGATGAAACAAAATGCACTTCCAGTTCCTTCTTCAAAACATTGTCTCTCATCTGTGGAGCCTTGTAGCCACACGATATAAAAGAAAATGATACCTGTTTTTATGAGACGGTCATCATCATAAATACATTTGGAATCGCCCTGAGGAGGCACGTTGAGGGATACATCTAAAACTTGGTTATTGCTGTCGTTTTCAACCCCTCTTCGTTTCAGACTAGTAAAGAAAACGGTCAACCAGCCCTACTTAAAGAAAAAGAGAAACTCTGAGGAAAAGAATATGGTTCCTTGACAAATGATTCATCAAGCCTCTCAATAAAGCAAGTAGTCAAGTATAGCGGGACTTTTAAGTTTAACCTAGTCAAAGGACCTAAATTTTACGTTGACTTTTAAAATCATGAATATTATGACATTGGCCTCTTGTATGGTAAAAGACAAAGATGCCCTTAAATGTTTTGTACAATTACAAAACAATATATTGTTGAAAGAACTATACTACCCTTTTAGTTAATAATTGAAAACCAAACACTTCCCCACTTATAAAAACTTCAAAACGAGCTTCCAACACAGGAAAAATTCTCATCTTTTCATCTTTTTTAACCTCAAAATCTAGAAAAACTTTAAAACGTTGAAGCCGAAATTTTTTTTCATATCAATTATTTCAAATCGGTAAGTTCATTTACGCATGTTTAATTTCGTTTTCAATAAATTAGTATACGTTTGAATAGAGAAATTTTATGTTGACATAGCAGTTAGCATAAAAAATTTTTAACAGATCTTACCTATCAAAAAAAATTTGAACAGATGTATAATATTTTTCTTTAGAATCGTATTCTCCTGCGCAAAAACAGCCAAACAATCGGCTGTTAAACAGCCAATTAACCGATTCTGCACTGATTTTTGTTGACACTGATTTTTTCTTATAATTAATAAATGAAGTTGATTAAAATCATTTCCTCGGTGATTTCAAATTGAATGAAAATAATCGGTGGGAATGGAAATGGACGAGTGACATACGTGGTTGTATTGCAATTC